GCTTTCAGCGTGTGTTATTTATTGTGTTGTTCTACGCAGGGTCAACTCTCCATAATGCATTGGGGGCTATAAGGTTACCATAAAATATATTTCCCTGTTTATTGAGTGATTTTATATTATAATATATAATGTAATATCTTAATGTTTTTTATTGATTTATAAATTCTTAATAATGTAAGGTTTTTGTGGTATTAACTAATTGGCATACACAAGTTACTTCTAAGAGTTTTCTTATGCATTTTATAAATCATGTACTGGTCACATTCTGCTTTATCTTATAGAGAGAACCGTATCATAGAATGTTGTGGTTTTAGCTGATCCATCGAAGTGCCTATTGATGTTAACCTGTATATGCATGACTTTAGGGAATGGACTGCAGTGAGATGAAAACATACTAGCAAGATATGTATATAAATTGCCATGTTAGAAAATCATTTTCTGACATTTTTATTCATTAAAGTGACATTATTAGAAATGCAAAGTGAATGCAAAGTAAATGTTAAATTTAAGGCTAATATCGCCAAAAACAAGATACCTGTCTGACTTGGAGAATTGTTCCACTTAATCTATTTTGTCCTTACATTTTAAATTCTCTGGTAATTCACTTGAAGTTCCTGACAATTTTCACTTTAGTGAATAACCCTGTAAATGTTTACATACAATCTTCCCTTAATGTGACATAATTTTTTTAAATGCACCAGCATATAGCTTGTTAAAAACTGTCTATGCCTTGTGATGATAATTTTAATGTACAAAATAAATCCAATAGTGGAAGCTAACTTTGGGAATTTAGTGCACAGGTCCTAATCAGTGGTTAGAGGACATCTCCCTGTTTCCTGCGCAATGGAAAGCTGGGAGCCACTTTATTCACTCAAGTGAGATTTCAAACTGAATTTCAAATTTAAGGTAAAAATAGCTGAATTATAAAAATTCTGCCAGTTATGCTTTCTTGCCTTAAAGGACCAATTATCTCACAGAAGTGGCCTGGGTGTGGTGGTGGTCATGACAATTTAATCCTCAAAGGTAACATTTTGCTGTTTTTCTGAAACAGCAATGCTTATGTCAAACACACCTCCAGTGTCTGTTATAGTCATGTGACGCAGAAGCCACCATAGGAAAGAATGCACATCAAATCCCCAATGTTCCTCTTTGAGGAACATTTGAATGGGCAATCGCAGAGCAGGCCATGCTTCCTCCATGATTTCTTGGGAAATGGAGAGGTAAGCATTGCTGAGAGAGCCTAATTTTATTAGTTTTATGGCGCACACACCTTTCTAACATGGGTATGTGACACTAAAACATTAGGAATACAGGTTTGTATTACTAACGTTTTAGTTTTACTTTATATTTAAAATTCATTTTGAATTGACTTTGTATCCTCACTTTAGTAAATAATGATATGTGAATCACACAATTTGACATCACTTGCCTTTTTTATCTTCCTTCAAATACGAAGTGTAACTCGACATTTATGGCATGAAACAAATGCTGATATTACTTGATGCCAGAAATGAAACATGCCAGCCGCACCATATTTTTTAATGACATTTTACACCCTCGCTGTGGGTATTATGAGGAAGTTGCTTCGGTATCTCAATATTAGTTTTTGTTAATGGTTTACTGATGTATTTTACACTTTCAACACCCAAAAATACAGAAGTGCATAGTGCTGTTTTCTACAGAGGCAGAGTTTATTCAACCTTTGGAGCACCCAAGCAGGGTTTTCATCACACAGCTTGGGGATATGTGGTTTCTCCAGGCATTGAATTTACACCAGAAAACAGACTTAATTACACACCGAAAGCTGCAATGCTATTTACTACATACCTAGAGATGTAATTGATTTGATAGTTTCCTATATAATGGTTTATCTACAATTGGAAGTTGATTTTATGACTGAGATTAAACAGCTATAATTTTTGCATTGCTTTATCACATCACATAGAAACATAGAATGTGATGGCAGATAAGAACTGCTTGGCCCATCTAGTCTGCCAAAATTTCTAAATACTTTCATTAGTCATTGTCTGCCTACCTTTAAGTCATCTGAAATAATTACCCCTGATTCCCAGATGTTGAGGTTAGGACTCTATCATATATTCTATACTCTGCTCTTGTTTTGTTTTTTGCCAAAGATGCATCATCTTGCACTTATCCACATTAAATGTCAGTTGCCACAGCTCTGATCATTTTTCTAGTTTACCTAAATCATTTGCTATTTGGCTTATCCCTCCTGGAACATCAACCCTGTTACATATCTTAGTATCATCAGCAAAAAGACATACCTTACCATCAAGACCTTCTGCAATACCACTAATAAAAATATTACAGAGAATGGGTCTAGGTACAGATCCCTGAGGCACTTCACTAGTATTAAGACCTTGCTTCGAATATACTCCATTGACTACAACCCTCTGTTGCCTATCACTCAGCCACTGCCTTACCCATTCATCAATATTGGAATCCAAACTTAAAGATTGCAATTTGTTGATGAGAATTCTATGTGCAACAGTGTCAAATGCATTACTGAAATCTAGGTAAGCAATGTCTACTGCACCAACCTGATCACCATTTTGTTTTGCTGACATGTGTTAGCGAATCAATTATTTCTCTCAAATGTATGGCCCGTTTAAGAATAGCTACCCTTGAGGAAATGTAGAAATGACCACATGTGATTATGAAAATTGCTAATGTTCAGGGAAATTCTAGTGAATGTGACTTAATGTTATAGAAGATAGTAAAGAATTATTTGGAAATCTGCATCAAACTGTACAGGGTCTGAAGATAGCAATGATTTTTACATCCATCATCTAAATCACAACATAAAACTTTGCCAGATAAGCAGTTTTACTCCTGGCAATGTTACTATTCCTGAGAAAAACAGTCAATATTTACTCTAAAGCAGTGTTTCCCAAACTATTACTCATGGCCCACCAACAGACCAAGTTTTGTCATGATCTCCATTAGAATAAAACAGGGAAATACATGAATCCTGGATTGTTGGTGAGGCATGATGACTGGTTTGGGAACCACTGGTCTAAAGAATTAGGGAAAATGCGGTCATGTTTTTTTGTCATATATTCATGATAAATGTTAAAGAAATTAGCTTGAACATGTCTGATAACACACAACAGTCATATTGATGTATAACAATTAAAAACTAAAACTAGCAATAGTTATGCATAACAAAATGAGATGTTTATCCAAGCTACAAAGACAGCTTTGTTAAAGATTCCCCCCTCCACATTACCCACCTGGTAATCTCTTTTGAAAGTAAAGAAGTACAATCATGTGGTCTATGATACTATGGCAACAAAACAGATTATATCCTTATGCTCACCTATTTAATTGACAATGCATTCAATATTTGGGATTACCATATAATATAAGGCATAGTTTATTAGAGCTTTGCAAATGTATATTATCATGTATCATAAATAAAAAAATGGTAAAGGTTATATTTTGGACCGCAACAATTGTGCCTTTTTTAAGGGACAGCCTTATTATGCATCAGACATTTATATTTTTCTAAATTAGGTTTTTACCAATGTTCTTACTACACAGCCAATATATGGCTGGGACGAAAGATACGCAATCTGTTTACTACATGTCCAGATAAATAACTTCACGTACTTCCTGGCAAAATGAACTTTTGGACAGTTACCGTAAAAGAACAAAAATGGTGTCTCCTCTCTTGTAAAACATGCAAAGAAATGAAAATAAACAACTAAATGTGTCTTTTTTGCATACAAACACCTTGTACACTGTGAAATTAAATATTTTAGAGCTCTTTCCCCCCAAAAAAAACATTGTTTAACCACTTAAGGACACATGGCACGTGTGACATGTCATGATTCCCTTTTTTTCCAGAATTTTGGTCCTTAAGGGGTTAAGCATCTTTACACAGAATGCAATTGCTTAGACTGTCCCTCTAACTACATAAACTCACATTAGTGTGACAGAACTGTTGTCTGAAAAAACACTAACTGTGTGAGAATAACATTATATTTCTTAGTTAAACATTAGTTAGGAAATGTGGCGAGGATTTATTTAGCCAGTGTTCTAGTTAGCATACTATAAAAAAACTGATTGACAACAAAGTTTATTATTTTACAATTTTAGAGTCTGAACTTAACAGAGCAAAGTTGAAAGTGTGTTAAACTGCAAGGAAATAATTGACACAGATGTATTTGGGGAACGTTAGCGTTGAAACATGATATGAATTAAACATTTTTATTAGTACCTGTTGTTTTCCTAGTTAGAGTCTGCAAGGGACTTAGAAATACTGTTGCTGCAGGTAATTTTCATTGTGTGCCAACTAGAATGAATCGTTATACCTCATCAATGCCATCAATTGCGTAACAATATATTTATATTCCTGGAAGAGATTGACAACAAAATTAGAAATAAAATATCCAAGGAGTGTATTTGTGAAGTAACCTTACAACTTGTGGCAAATCACATGCAACTCGGGACTCCAACCAAGGAAAACATATCTAAAGAGAACAAATAGCAAAGGTGAAACAACAGAATACATAAAGCCAATATTTCTAATAAAGATGGATATTTATTATGTAATACCCAAAAGAGAAAACAACATGTAAAAAAATAAAAATAAGGGGGGCGGGGCCTGGCTGCCAAACGGAATGGACGCATGCAGAGTCAGCTCTGACCAAAAATCTAAGAAATCGTCTTAATACTGACCTTCTCAAGCACAACAATTGCAACCCGAGAGCTAGAAATAGCCTACAATCAGCCCTGATCGAATCCAGAGCTCTACAGATGCACGTTATTGTGGCCTAGCAGGGAGTGAGAGTGCGGGGGAGGTGGTCGCTCTCCTCACCTGAACTCCTGCGGGAACAAGCAGACGCAGTACGGGCACCCGTTGCCCCCCTGCCGGTGGGGGTCATCCCGGCCTTATCACTCCAGCCACTGGAGTACCTGTAGCCCCGCACAAGCACACGCTGCAGCCTGAATCTTACCGCCTCAGGCAACCTAAGATGGCGGACGCCAGGCCTCTCACCATACTGCGAGGCTCGATGGAATCTACCGTAACAAAGCTGGACAAGATATTGGAGGCATTCTGGCGGAAGCTAGAGGAGAGGCAACAATCTGCAAACTCACAACTCACTGAGAGCAGTGGGCGGTCGACTCCAGGGGGTAAATCGGCTCACAGAGCTCCTCCGCAGAGACCCCCTTTTAAAAGAGGAATCCAACAGCCCCACTGGGAGACGTATAGCCCAGGCTCCAACACCAAACAGAGCTTCCCGACACCACCAGGTACCAGCCTTCATGCTGCACGAAAAGCTGATTTGGGTTGGAGAGGGAGAGCGATGAAGGGATATGGAGCTCACAGAGATCCCTCCCATGCTGTACACCTTAAAGCTAGACTGGAAAAGGACTGCTTGGGGTGGCCTACCAGAGGCATTGGCTGAGACCCTGACCCTGCCTAACTGCCGACCCCAAACGGACACCAGCACAAATATATCCGTCAACCACCCTTAATGTTTCTCATATAAATGTCTCTTTCTTTTATGTTACTCCTGCTATAATTTCATTTAAAGGACAAAGCAGTTTTATGTTCGGCCACTAATTACAGGGAGTGCAGAATTATTAGGCAAGTTGTATTTTTGAGGATTAATTTTATTATTGAACAACAACCATGTTCTCAATGAACCCAAAAAACTCATTAATATCAAAGCTGAATATTTTTGGAAGTAGTTTTTAGTTTGTTTTTAGTTATAGCTATGTTAGGGGGATATCTGTGTGTGCAGGTGACTATTACTGTGCATAATTATTAGGCAACTTAACAAAAAACAAATATATACCCATTTCAATTATTTATTATTACCAGTGAAACCAATATAACATCTCAACATTCACAAATATACATTTCTGACATTCAAAAACAAAACAAAAACAAATCAGTGACCAATATAGCCACCTTTCTTTGCAAGGACACTCAAAAGCCTGCCATCCATGGATTCTGTCAGTGTTTTGATCTGTTCACCATCAACATTGCGTGCAGCAGCAACCACAGCCTCCCAGACACTGTTCAGAGAGGTGTACTGTTTTCCCTCCTTGTAAATCTCACATTTGATGATGGACCACAGGTTCTCAATGGGGTTCAGATCAGGTGAACAAGGAGGCCATGTCATTAGATTTTCTTCTTTTATACCCTTTCTTGCCAGCCACGCTGTGGAGTACTTGGACACGTGTGATGGAGCATTGTCCTGCATGAAAATCATGTTTTTCTTGAAGGATGCAGACTTCTTCCTGTACCACTGCTTGAAGAAGGTGTCTTCCAGGAACTGGCAGTAGGACTGGGAGTTGAGCTTGACTCCATCCTCAACCCGAAAAGGCCCCACAAGCTCATCTTTGATGATACCAGCCCAAACCAGTACTCCACCTCCACCTTGCTTGCGTCTGAGTCGGACTGGAGCTCTCTGCCCTTTACCAATCCAGCCACGGGCCCATCCATCTGGCCCATCAAGACTCACTCTCATTTCATCATCCATAAAACCTTAGAAAAATCAGTCTTGAGATATTTCTTGGCCCAGCCTTGACATTTCAGCTTGTGTGTCTTGTTCAGTGGTGGTCGTCTTTCAGCCTTTCTTACCTTGGCCATGTCTCTGAGTATTGCACACCTTGTTCTTTTGGGCACTCCAGTGATGTTGCAGCTCTGAAATATGGCCAAACTGGTGGCAAGTGGCATCGTGGCAGCTGCACGCTTGACTTTTCTCAGTTCATGGGCAGTTATTTTGCGCCTTGGTTTTTCCACACGCTTCTTGCGACCCTGTTGACTATTTTGAATGAAACGCTTGATTGTTCGATGATCACGCTTCAGAAGCTTTGCAATTTTAAGAGTGCTGCATCCCTCTGCAAGATATCTCACTATTTTTGACTTTTCTGAGCCTGTCAAGTCCTTCTTTTGACCCATTTTGCCAAAGGAAAGGAAGTTGCCTAATAATTATGCACACCTGATATAGGGTGTTGATGTCATTAGACCACACCCCTTCTCATTACAGAGATGCACATCACCTAATATGCTTAATTGGTAGTAGGCTTTCGAGCCTATACAGCTTGGAGTAAGACAACATGCATAAAGAGGATGATGTGGTCAAAATACTCATTTGCCTAATAATTCTGCACTCCCTGTATATGCCATTTGTCTTGGCTTGTTTTCGCACTGCATATTTCTGCCTCCAGCCTCGTGACATGGTTTCATGTATAAGCATAGTCTACAGTTTACTTAGTATAACCTGTTTGGTTGCAGAGCTAAATCTGTATCTGCCTGTCATGTCTAATCTTAAATATAAAAATGTGCAGCTTAAAATATAGTTATTTAATAGTGAAGCAGAACACAACTTGCATACTACCAGTATAGTACCCTTTGAAGTGTAGTTTTTAGCATATTGTAGTCTACATACAGCTAGGCATGTTTGACAAGCATAGATGAGCATATGAGACACCTGCAGTGTGTGTTCTAAGCAATTCCATGTTCCTGAGAACTACAGATAGAAGCGTATACCTAAGCTTGTATATATAACATATAAAATTGTGCAGCTCTTTCCATGCCATATATGTACTAAAATTGTGTTTATTTCTCGACTGCATACACTGTTGTGGCATTATCAAACGAATGTTAACCCCTGCATATGAAAATAAAGAATTTTTAAAAAAAAATAAATAAATGCCAGAGCAACTCACCGACAGCAAGTTTAGTTACAGAAGCTTACCACATTTCACACTAAGCAGAGTGCTTACATATATTGCTGTGTTTGCACGTGCTATTTTTCTGTCTAGAGAATGACAATATTTTGGTATGTGTTGTCTTTATTGTTTATCATGCAAACTTTTAAACTTGCACCATCTTGATCCTCTTTGACCTTTAGCTAACAGGACAAGAGACCTTATCAACCAGAAATGTATAACCCAACAGCTAAATGAATGTCCTTTAGTGTCTTCTGTAAGCACAAACAAATGATCCAAAACCAGTTCCTGAAGAAAACATATCTGAACAAAAGGATCAATAATATAAAATGCAACAATTAGAATGGACTATTCTCAAATTAGCCATACAATTTTAGCAGACACCTTTTGCAAAAAAAATAAAATAGATTTTTACCATACTTTGAAATATACATATTGCATATGCTTTTTTCTCTGTACTATAAATTAACTTTCATTGAGTCTAATTAGTGAGTTTGTCTCAAGTCTTTGAGAGATCAGATGTCCTAGAGGAAGCCGGTTAAACATCAAGATAGGAGACCCATGCCTCATTTACTGAGTATCTCTGTATATCAGTAAGGTGATAATCATGGGGGATGGGGATGCAGGGGGGATATTTGTACCCAGAAAGGAGACCAGTGCAATCCTTTATTTTAATTAAATATTTAATTAAAGTTGTTTTACTTACTCCAGGTTTGGATCAGGAAATGGTAACTGTTTTAAATATTGTTGCAATAAATTGTATATATTTTTGGTAAAGGTATGTGCTGTCACTTATATTATTTGGCAAACAGAATGACTAAAGAAAGCCGTACAGTAGATGTATCTTTCAAATAAATGTTGATTGTTGTGTGAATGAGGTTTTAAGAGACTTACCTAGTCATTTTTAATGCACTTCAGGATATTTTATTTAAATTTTACCTGCTGTTGTCCGTTTCCATTAAATAGTTTTTTGTTTAGACAGAACAGAAATGCCCTTGGTAGTGTGTGTAATGTCGCACAACTTGTGAAGCATGGGTGTATCCAGTTGTATGCAGTCCATGTGACTATTTAACAGCTAAAACTAGTTCAGTAATTATAAAACTTCTGTATACAAAATATACCTTTTAAACACACATAAAACCTTTATTAGCTGTTAAACGGGTGACGAAACTATAATGAATGACACTGATTTCAAAGAAAAAAGCAGAACTCCTGATCTGTTAAAAGAAAAGTAATATTTTAGTAGAAGTAAAAATGCATTAAAAAAATCTAATTACTCTGTTGAAACTATTCATGTAATGTTCTTTGTGGTTTATTTTTTGTCTTTAGACTATATCTTATAAAAAAAAACTACCCGTAGTGTAAACGGATTTATTTTTGTGTCCGCTGTTTTGTGCTTTACACATTTTCTTTGTGGGTATTTTAAATATATAAGATACAAAAAAACAGTTTCTGCTTAGTCCCTTAAGGAAAATCATAGTCTCCTGGATCACTAGACTGTTCCTTGATCATGGCTGGTCCCCTAAAGTGCCCCACTGGTTGAAGCCTTGGAGATGCCTAGTCTCTTGAACTCATGAATGTGCTCAATAAAAAGGAAATGTCTAGTCTCCAGAACCCATGAATGTGCCCTGTGCAAATGGGTTCAAGAAATACCAAGTCTCCTGGGCCCCATGTATAGAAATCTGTAACGAGTACTGGGCTAATGTCATGAGAAGCAAATCTTGCATGTCAGAGCACTATGGTTGATTGGTTTCCAAGTTATTGCTATGCAACTTTTTTTCAACTTTTTTAATAGTAAGCAGACATTAAATACAAGTGGTAAGGTTGGAAACAAGCTGCTAACTTGAGGCTGCTAATATCTGCCTGCAGTTGTTACTAACAACAGCTTATCTAGATATTTAGCGATAAGGTTAGAAATGAGCCCTTGGTAAGGGAAAAATCCTGTGATGTTAATTACTAGACTTGTGCAAGCTGAAAAAAATTAGACAGGCCTAACCATTTTTCCAGAATTTTAAAAAAAAATTCTGAATGCCCGAACTTTGACCATATGTCCGTTTGGCTTGAACGAGTATCAGACTCTATTTATATGTAATATTTTTCACAGCTCTTCCTTTACCCCCTATATTACCCACTTCACACTTTGTGAATACAATCAACATTTAGTGACTGTCCCCTAGCCATTAATAATTTTTTTTCTCCATCATCTATTTTTTGGGGCGCCATGGGCGGAATTCAGAATCACAAACAGAAATGAACATGATTGGACAACTTTCAGTTCATTGGTGATCCAGGCAGATATCGGCTTGGTATTCGGGAATTTGACCGATAACCGAATTGGCCCAAATTCAGACAAATAGCAGTTTGGACTGAACCTAATTTCTAAGTCTATTAATAATAGTTAGCTATGCTGATGTCTGCCCTAGGGTATATTTGGTTTTAATATCCCCTTTTTTTGTATCAGGTGGCCACACATGTCTCACCGATTGTTAAGGAAACATTTAGTTTTTATGAGCCATATTAAACTTTTTATTGCATCAATCTCTATGGGAGAAATAAGGAAGATGTTA